ACACGTGGAGTAGTCGGTGTTACGAAAACGGAGATTTAGCACATATGTTTGTTCTGAAACTTCCGATAGAAACGTTATAATATGCATGACTATACGATACAATAATATTTATAACGGATAATGGGATTGCAACTTAAAATCATACAAACTATAAAGACAATTGTGGCGTGTAGTTGTGATACTACACTATTGCATGAATAAATATTGATTGAGAAGAAAACCATTTTGAGAAATATGCGTATTTTCTTTTTCTTTTTTTTGCATATTCAATCTCCCAAATTTGATGATTTTTGTCGAAACTACTCCTGTTATAAAATGGTTGCCGTTTATCACTTATTTGACGTTTTTTTCTTAGACTCTGAGCAAATAACACACTCCTTTAAAGCCAGAGGCGCGTTCAATAACATAATAAAACTGGTAGAAAGTGGACAAGAAGCAAGATTGAAAAAGAAAGGACTAACTACGACATCTAGTGGTAATGCAGGCATTGGATATGTAAGTTGGATTACCATATAATGAAGAAAGTCAGTACACAATATTAGTGTACGCCAGAATAATTATTATGTACTGAATTGTCATATCCGGGGATTGTACACATGGGAACGGATTCTTGAAATTTGGAAAAGCGGTGAAACTTTCCTACAAATATGCCACAAATGTATGCGTTATTATTCACGTTCGGTTCATGTTTTTAGTATCACTTTGAATTTCCCAGTGAAATATCGAACTCATGACAAGCTAAGTTTAAGAACTATGAAATCATTGTTTTGTTTCTTATCGTTCAGTTTGTCCAGGTCTTAATATTTTCAATAGTTGGTTAACTAAATTTAAATTGAGACAGAGTTGTATTTTTTTACGACACTTTACATTAGATTCAAACTTGTGATCAGGCGCCTCACCAGTATGTGGAGTCGCGTGCCGCTAATCACGCCACAATCCTGTTCTAAAAGAACAACTCCAAATACTGTATGATGAGCACGTCTCTACAAGTTGTTAATGCACAAGCCGAATCATGGAGAAATACACAAAAATATATATTAAACAACTACACTCGTATAAGCCTAGTATACAAAACACTTGCATAATTGTTCCCCATAACAAAAGCTGTATATCTTATATGACATTTCTGAACGGTACCTTGTTGCTTCTCTACCGAGACGTCAGGACACCACATTTCACTAACACATCGCTCTATACACACAGGCCTTGGCATGTCACACGTTTGGTATACCCCTACAAGTTCATGTTCCAGATCAAATCACCGAACTGAAAGAAAGAATGATGGTCAAATACAGTGCTGAAGTGATCAAGCACAAACTTGACTATATGGATATTATCACGATGGCGGAAACTTCAGCAAGGGTGAGGTGCATAATGGTGCAGTTATATGACCAGTGTGTAATATGTTTTTTTTTTTCAAATGTCTTAAAGCCTTTGTGAATTGAATCAATTGTTTAGAGTTTAAACTACCAATGAAAGCCGCGACTTAGCATCAACGTAGAGCTTTGTATCAGGCTGTACAAGGAATTTATCACTTATATCAGCGTATATTAATACATCTCTCAAAGGGCTAGTAGTCGTTGGGCACACCAACTAGTACAAACTGAGAAGTTACCAATCTTTAATTAGGTATTTTTTGGTGTTTGGCAGGTATCGAAGGAGTCGCCGGCGGTAATTAGTGCAAGTGGTGACCCGGGCAAAACTCGCACTCATGATTTCATCAGAAAAACGCATTGAATTATGGGTGAATCAATGTTTATGAACACAAATATCGCACATGCGCGGCGCAACGACTACAATTTACTTATCGAAACTCATCAAAACTCACTCAAGCTATTTTAAAAACATCATTCCGAATTTTAATGATGGTTAGTTCGTTTATTGCTGAACGCATCGTCCGATATAGCTGCTGTTTTAAGTCTGTTTCTGTTTCTACAAGTTTGCACTAATTTGCAACTGTGTATGAGAAAAGAGACCACATAGCAAATGCTTCCCCAAAGCATACCCATATTTCAAGAATATGTAAAGTACCATGATACTGCTGTTGAACGTAACCTGTTGTATTTTGTGTAGGTCCGTGGAACTGAACTGATTGATTCGTGCAATTATATTGATGTACTTGGAGGCAATGGTACAGTGGGGTAATATATTTCATAATATTATATCAGTTTTTCCACATATTGTTACATGTTCTCGAAAGTCTTGTTGTGACCGAGGTATTTTTTAAAATTAAAATACCTTTTTATAGAATACATTGGAGCATAGTAATGAACAAAAATAAACGTCCGCATGATGGATGCATGTTCTGCAGCAGCCTGTAACATATCAATATGATTTCTAAAATACAACAGCTATTTAGATGTGCTATAAACAGATATAAATATATTATTGTTTTACAAGATCTGTCTAAACGTGGCGTGGCATTTTTCAGTTCAGAGTTAAATTAATGTCATTCTCGCCATTGGAGAAATAAAATTATCAAATTGGATAGAGTTGTCGGGTAAGCCTGAGCATAAAAGATGACTTGTATACATGTGTAATAATGCTTCTTGTTTTATGTAGATTGGAGATTTTAAACGACTTGCCCGATGTTGATGTAATATTTCTTCCAGTAGGCGGGGGTAGTTTGATTTCTTCAACAGCAGTATATGTTAAAACTGTCAACCCGAAAATTCAGGTATGATGGGCCACAATAAAAACAAAAAATGGCGGGAGGGGATATGCAGTGCATGGAATATTATTTGCGCATGTATGTGGGCTTTTTGTCACAAAATGCGCCATTTTTGTTCGTCCTGGTTTGTATCTAGCATTCTTTAGTCAGAGAATATTAAGTGGTTTGTAACAGTTAAACATATCTTTTTTGTAAATACAATTTAGTTGGAAAAAGTAAAATTCATCAAATACAATACAATACACTCTTTCTATACTACCACGACCACAAACCCATTCCCTTGTTATAGGTATGTATAAATTCCAATAGCTGTCGAACCAATAACAAAACACAGTGCATAATCACGTCATTAAAAATGTCACAATGGTATATCCCATCTTCCATCTCTTCGAATTGTGTAACTTATAAATATTTAGAAAAACGCAGAGAATAGTATAGTAGGTGGTTTCTCTTGCTCTAGATTATTGGATGCCAACCAGAGACAAACAGTGCAATGGAACACTTAGTTCGCACCGGTAAGTACGACAAGCTGCTATTACAAGACACTATTAGTGATGCCACAGAAGGAGATGTGTACGAGAATTCGGTAAGTATATTTGCATTGGTCTCGAACAAAGTTACACCGAACTTCACATTAGGAGACTTTATGATACATTTTTTCCAATATCGTTTATATTTGAAAATGTATTCTATTTTACGCTCGAAAGTGACGAATATCCACAACGCTACACGATATTTTATAATCACACCAATGTTGCGGTAGATAACCCGCGCATTGCATCATGTTTTGCAGATTTGCACTGAGTTATGTAAATCACTTGTAGATAGATGGGTGTTAGTTTCAAACGAGGCAATAGCTAGAGGGGTTATATTTATGATAATTTATCATCGTAAGGTGAGATCAACTTTCGATTGTTTATGGATGCTAAGTATATAATGTTTTTATCTTATTTGCTGCTTATGCTTATTACGTCCACAGTTCTTTGCATTCACATCCCGCAAGGCTATTGAAATCAACCATTTCTTCTGACTGCGTATTGTGAAATAAAACAAACTGTGCGTGCGATGATTGAATTAACTATCGAGTGCACGGGGTACCAGGATTGGCATATGCTTACAGTGAATCTTCAACATGCTCGTTGGTAAACTGACATAACAACATAAATGTACTGTTTACTCTTACTTTACAGGTTATCGAAACTGCCAGTGCTTTGCCAATTGCTGCGTTTCTGTCTGTGGCTGAAGATTATAGAGACAAGAAAGTTGCACTGGTCATCACTGGATCTAATATAGGTTGCGAGAAAATTAAATACATCCTTCAGAATTATTCTCAACATACTTTTTAAATTAATAGAAATACGACAATATATTTCATTTTGGTTTTGCCTGTGAATGTAATCATCTATAAAACAAATTAAATGTATTCCCACCAAGAGTGAGTATACATACAAGGGCACTTTTTTATGTCGAATATTTATGCGTCAGGTTACAATTCCTGGTGGTTTTTAATGTGCAGGCATCTTTATTTACATGATACATCCCTTACTATCTAGTGTGGATTTTCGTTTTGCCCTTCATTATATTTATGGCGCCCTCATTTGAAGGCACTTATTACAATTAATTTGTAAAAATATAATGTTAACAGTGAATGATGCAGAGAATTGTGACATTTATTTGTATTATTACTTATGTATAAAATAAATAGTCATGACGCTTGAAATTCCCAACTTCTGATACAAGATATGTTCTGAGTTTAATACTATCATTGCATTTTCGTTACAAAATTCACAACTATCAATCTATTTATCTAAAAAAAACTTATATAGCGCCGGTATCTAAAACTACGTTTTGTTCAAAGTCGCTGAAAGCGAATCTGTAGAGTTGTTCCACACTGTAGGCTTTGTTGAACAAGTAGGTCTTAAGTCTCTTCTTAAATATATTGACATCAGTAACTTCACGAAGATCAAGTGGAAGGTCATTCCAGAGTTTTGGAGCAGCATATGAGAAGGCACGTCCACCATATGTTTCTGTCTGTAGTTAGTGTTACGGAGAAGCTCCTTATTGGAAGAACGAAGACAGCGACTGGGTGTGTACACATGAAGTAGATCAGGAATGTAGTTTGGAGCAAGTCCATTCAGAGCTTTGAATGTCAACAGCTTAAGTTTGTAGACAATCCTATAACAAACAGGTAGCCAATGTAACTTCTGTAGAACTGGAGATATGTGATCATATTTTCTAGTGCGGGTGATGATTCTTGCAGCAGTGTTTTGAGCATGTTGAAGAAAAATGGTGCCATTGTCCGGCAGTCCAAATAATAATGAATTCCCATGATCAAGCTTAGCAGATAGAACAGCATGAATTAATGTCTGGCAGGTGTCATTACTGAGATATTTCCTAATGCGACCGATGCGACGAAGATGGTTGTGGATGGATCTGCAAGTAATCTTGATGTGAGTGTTGAACATATGAGTATTGTCAAAAGTAACTCCCATGTTACAAGCAGATGTGACTGGTGCAAGTGAACTGGTACAAACGGT